CAAGGGACTCAGGGATAGGGATGGGGACAGGTCAGCCCAGGACACAGGAGCCAGGGATAGGGATAAGGGACAGGTTAGCCCAGGACACGGGGGATGGGGATGAGGGCAGGTCAGCCCAGGACACGGATGGGGACAGGGGACAGGCCGGTTCAGGATGCAGGGGATGGGGACCACGGCCGGGTCAGCCCAGGACAAGGGGAACAGGGATAGGGATGGGGACAGTTCAGTCCACGACACAGGAACTAGGATAGGGACAAGGGACTGGTCAGCCCAGGACACAGGGGATGGGGATGAGGGCAGGTCAACTCAGGACACGGATGGGGGCTGGGGACAGACTGGTTCAGAATGCAGGGGATGGGGACCGCAGCCAGGTCAAGCCCAGAACAAGGGGATCAGGTGGCCTACGCCCCCATCAACCCAGGACTCAGAGGTCAGGGTAACCTGGCACCCATCAGCCCAGGACTCAGGGGCCCTTGTGGCCTGAGCACCCATCAGCCTATGATGCAGGAGTTGGAATCACCTGGGGCCATTAGTCCAGGACACAGGTCAGAGTGACCTGGGGCTCTGTTAGTCCATGATGCAGGGGTTGGGGTGACCTCGGGGCCCATCAGCTCAGGATCTGGGGGTTGGGGTCGCCTAGGACCTTGTCAACCCTGCACATGGAGTTGGGGTGTCCTGGGGCTCTATCAAGTATTTCCTCAAGCCCTGTCAGACCCCTGGATATGGGGTCAGGGTCATCTCACCTTGTCAATCACGTGTACCTGGGTTTCAGGGTTCCCTCAGCCTTTATTGGCCCTCTGAGTCCCAGAGCCATGTCGGCTCTGGGCATGCTCTCTCCCCAATCCACGCTTAGTGCCCCAAACACAAAGACTCTCAAATACCCCATATACATTCTCTCATATTCTCCAAGCTGGGCCACTCCCTGGGCGTCTTTGGGATCCAATGCGTGGACAAGGGGCCCTCCCTCCCTGTCACTGACATCTGTTCAGAGTCCTCTGCACCTCCTACCCACACAGGTCTGTGGTGGCCCTGGTCTCCCTGTCACATCCCTGCCAGTCTTATCACTCTGAGCTCTGCATCCCTGGGTCAGTCCTGGGTCTGCAGTGACTCCCCTGTCCTGATTCTGTGTCTGGGCAGCCCCTCAGCCCATCCCAGGGCAACCACAGCCCTGAACTCTGCTCCTCCAGTCTATGTCTCCTGCCCAGGTGGCCCCTGGCTGCCAGACACCTCATGTCCTTCTAGAAAGCACTGACCCTAGGTAACCATGCTTCCTTGGCCCCTTCCTACCGGACCTGGTGACTACACCACCCCTACCCTCAGCCCCTCACCCTGAGGAGTCCTGGGCCCAAGCCAGGACCAGCTACTTGTCATGGTCCCTTCAGAGACAGCCACTGTCCCCTGGCAGCCCCTGGGAGGGGGCTGGGCACAGAGCTCTTGGTCAGAGCTGCCACCGGCGGGCCAGAGGCAGATCTTCTTACCCAGAGGTTGTTGTGGTGGCTCTATGGCCCTGGCCCTGGTGCAGGCCTAGCCAGAGGTTCCTCTGAGATCTTTGGTTGGAAAAGTCGGGTAGGGACACAGCACTGTTGTCAGGACCCTGGCTTCACATGCAGTGTCTGAGGGGTGAGGAATATCCTCACCTGCAGAAGTCACCATGGCTCTTGTAGGTGGAGGAGTTCCTGGTTGAGGCTGAGGGTGCTGGTGACCTGAGCCCATCCAAGAGACAGCCGCCCCAACAAGCTCAGCTGCCACTCCAGGGAGGGTGCAGAAAGATCAACTTGCCCCGAGGGAGACAGCCAGCCCTGGGCACTTGGCATAGCCAGCTCCTGGGAGAGCAGGGGAGATGGAACCGCGAGACCCTCCAGGGTTGTGCGACAAGGGCCCCAGTGGGCTTCCTGGCTGAGAGGACAGGCACTCCTGAGTTCAGAACCCTCCAAGCAGGCCTGGCTGCTCCACACACAAGCTCTGCATCTGCCTAGCATGGTGTGGCCTGCCCTGCGGGGTTCTGAAGGAGGTGTGCCATGGCCTTGCCTTCCAGGGCAGCGTAGGACATGGTGTGGGCTGGAGGGCCCTGTGGGGTTCCTGTTACATCCCCCAGGGTTCCCACGTCCCTGCACCCATTACTGGGCCTGCCCTGGGAGCCTCTCCTGCCCCTCACTCCACGTGTCCAGATGTCCCTCCTGTCCCCCACAGCACCCACTACAGCCCACAGGACGAGGTCTGTCTGTGTCCAGTTTTCTGTTGCTTAGGGGGATGGGGGAGGGCTAGCTACTGGCTTAGAGTTCCAGAGTTTGTTGATTTTAGGAAATCAGAATTCTGAAGGCCCTGGAGGTAGCCTCCAGGGTGTGTCTAGAGTGTGGTGGCTTGACCTGGGTTCTGGAAACAGGACGGTTTGAATTCTAGCTCCACCGTTCATAGCTCTGTGACCTTGAGCCAGTGGCATGGCCTCTCTGAGCCTTGGTCTCCTCCTATGAGACCAAGGTTTGCACTAAGCACTGTCTCCCTGAGGTCAGATGCATGTCCAGGGTCAGCAAGGCATGTGGCCATGGTCAAGGTGAGACCAGCAGAGCCTCTTGTTATAACACAGCTGCCAATGGGCACACTTGTCTCAGTCCCCAGTGTAGAGTAACACTAAGGTCCAGTCTGGTGTAGTGTTTTGTGCCAAGCGACTAAGTGAGTCGTGGGAACCCCTGTTTTGCCATGGAGCTTCCAGCATGGGGTCTGCTTCTGCCGTTAAGCTCTTGGTTACTTGACGCATGATCAGGCCATAGCCCTGGGCCTCCTCAGCAAGGCTGAGCAGTGTCCAGGAGCTCTACCAGCCATACCCTCCAAGGGGGGTGGGTGCTGCTCTGTCTCCATGGCCGTGGGAGTCCCCTTGGGCAGCACCAGCATGTGTCCTCTCCTGGTCAGGGCCAGAGCCCAGCATCTGGGGGCTCTGGGGCGGCTCCTCCGGCCTCTTCCCACTGCCCGTGGCTTCCGGCACTCCTGGACTGTGGCCACATCGCTCCAGGCTCCATGGGTGTTCTCTCATGTGTGTCTTCACGTGGCACCATCCTCCCATCCTTTCACGAGGACACCAGTCACCATATCAGGACTTGCCTGTGACCCAGGTTAAAAAAGTCCTCACTTTCAACAAAGGTTCCCTTCACAGGTGCCAGGCATAGGACCTCAGCATGTCTGTCAGGGACAGCTTAACCCCCAGTAGCCCTGGTCAGTGTCCAGTGCCAGGGTGGGAGGGGGTGTCTGCACAAGCGAACAACTCTGCAACTTGCAGGCGGATGCAGGGAACTGGTGGCCCTAAGCAGGAGCTGCATGCTGTTTTCTGGGAGCAAAGCCCATGTTCTGGAGGGCTCTGCTGTGGCACCTCCCAGGAAGGGCTTCATGTCGCCTGAGCCCTCACATCCATGCACCTGAGTCCCAAGCAGGTTAAACCAGCGTGGTCTGACCTCTGGCATTTCATTGTCAACCTGATTCGGTGTTTCTTGCCTTCCATTGACCACCCTGGTCTGCCTATGCCGGGCACCACTGTAGCTCCCTCAGACTCAAGCCAGAAAACACGGCCTGGAATGGGACCAGGTTCAAGTGAGCCCCAAGGAACCGGTGCTGGCACAGCTCTGCTGTAGCTGGCACTGGCTGGGTGCCTCTGCTGGGCAGCAGGGCCCTGGCCTCCCCCCAGGCAGAGGTCCATGCTCCCTCTTACCAGCCATGTCAACTTGGCTCTGTGCCTGAGTTTCCTCACCTGTAAACTGAGGGTAAGAACACAACTTGCCTCCCAGAACTGTGAAGACCGAGTTTGTTAAAATGCTCACAGAGAAGGAACAGCAGAGGAAACCACAGAGAAGAGAAAAGCCTACAGAAGCAGCTAGGGCTGAATGTTAAAGCTTGGTGGGAAGAGACACACCATCCCCACAGTGACCAGAGTATAGCAAGGAAGGGTTAAACCGGTGGCAGAGATCAGGAACCGCAGGACCCTGAGCTGGGCCACACAGGGTCTGCATGGGGCCTGGGCTATGACTGCCCAGGCGGGCCACCAAGGGGCCCCAGACTTCCGCAGACACCTCCGCGGGCCACAGATGATGCCCCAGGTATGTGGAGTTAATTGCCCGAGGGAAGGAGCTTCTGGAACGACTTGTGAGACTGGGCCCTGGGGCCTCTGGGCTTGCCCTGAGGGCAGAACACAGACATCTCTATGGGGACAGTCCCCCTAGTCCACTCAGGCTGCTTTTCTCCCTGCCCAGGCCTGCACCTGCAACCTGCACTGGGCATTGTCAGGTGGGCCCTACAGCCTCTCAGGACAACCTGGGCCTGCAGATGCGCCCTCAGAGCCAGCTGCCTCCCCCAACCCCACCCTCCACCATGGTCCCAAGTACTGTCCCCCATCCACTTCTCGCCTCCTCTGCAGCCAATCTGGCTGGTGCCCTGCCCCCTGGCACAAGCAGCTGGAGGTGCACAGCCCTCTGGGGATGGAGCAAGGGAGTATCTGTCTCCTGGGTCTTCTGTCTTCAGTTCTGGTTTGTATTCAACAAGCTCCTCCTGCCCTTGTCTTCGGAGGCCTACCTGACTCTAAACCCCTGACCTCAGCTGTCCACTGTTCCCAGGCCCCCTCACCATCCCTCCCTCTCAGTGCCATGTTCAGCGGGTCACATGAGGCACTCGACCTTTGCTGCACACTGGGCTTTGTACGCGCTTGCTGTTGGCTGTGGGCCCCATGGCATCCGAGCACGTTAGGCCGGAGGCTGTGCTGAGAGGCACCCAGGTTGGGTGTGTCAAGTGCATTTCAGGTAGTGTTATCAGGGCATGTCCCGTCGTGAGTCTAGGGGCATCTGTGAGGAGATGGGAATGTGAATTTTGGCATCAAGGTGACAGTCTTGGGACCACCCAGGACTACACAGGCAGTGTGACCCTGGGCAGGTGCCAAACCACTCCCAGGTCACATGTTCAGAAGCTGCAGGACTGGAGTTGACCTCCACCCTTTGCCTCTTCCAGGCCAGCGGTCAGTGGGGGGATCTTCCAGGCGAACTCTCACAGGCTGGAGGCCTGGGCGGCCTCCCTGAGGAGGCAGCATAGAAACCAAAACCCAAAGTCCAGAAAGAGGTAGTCCTGGGGGGACTAGAAAGGAATGTTCCAGACTGAGGCACAGGCCTGCGAAGGCCCTGGGGTACAAGGGTGTGTGACGGGGAGCACAGGGCCCAACCATGGCCTTGAGCAAGGGGCCGTGCTTCTGGCAGGGGCAGGCACCACCGATCGCAGGCAGGGCTGGGTGGGACAGGCCTACTGGAGCTGGTGAAATACCCAGCAGGTGTTGCCCGGGTATCCCCAGCAGGCAGGGTGGACTGGCCTGGCCTGTCTGAGAAGCCTGCTCCAGAGGGCCAGAGGGGATCGCAGTGCCTCCCAGACAGATGGGAACCTTGCGGTGGACACCCCAAGGCGGGAAGGGCACTCCCTCCTTAGGCCTCTTAGCCCATAGGTGTGGCTAGGCTGGGGCACAGCCCTTCCCAGCACCGCCGGCACCCGCCTGTGCTAAGGCCTCCTGTTGTCCCCGCAGGAGGCGAGGCACATCCCAGCGCTGCTCCCTGGAGTTTCTGGAAGACACCGTGGGATGTGCCTCTGTACAGAGGTATGTATCCCGTCCACCCCAGTGCCCTGCCCTGCCCTGCTCCACTGACCCCCCCAGGGCCCAGAGAGGTCCTGGAAGGGAAGGAGCAGCAGCCTGCTTCTCTACCTTGCAGAACCAAGCATACATCCGGGTCACCGAGGCACAAAGCCCTGAAAAAGACCCACTTCATCAAGAACATGCGGCAGTATGACACACGGAACAGCAGGTACTGTCGTCCCAGGCTCCTTGAAAAGCGACCCCCTCCTCCCCACACACCTGCCTTCGTCCTTGCCAGCCGGGCACCAGAAGGCCCTGGCATGTCTGCGGCGAACCCACATCCTCGGGACCCGGGCGGAGGGCCACGTGCAGACGCCAGCCCCCAGCAGAGGTGTTGACATGGAAGCAGGAGATGTAGCAACAGCCCAGCTGGGAGATGTCCCTGGAGGGCTCCGCTGTGTTGGGAGCACAGAGAGCAGGTTGAACTAAAGCCACCACCCGTCCCTCCTTGCCAGGCATACCCAGCCCCAAGGGTCCCAGCAAACCAGGCACTCACCAGCAGTGGCTATAGGTCTGAACGACCCTTCCTCCCTGTCAGTCTTGAGTATCGGTCTCGCACCCATCATCCCAGCCAGAGAACGGCAGAGCAGTTCCCCACTGCTGCGTTGGTGAGAAGGGCTGTGGCTCCTGCTTCAGGCTCCAGGCCCAGGTCCCGGCTGCTCGAGCACTGAGCAAGGAAACCTCCAGGCCAGGCTCGCTCTCATGTGGGTCTGGCACTTTCTGGTGGCACCAGGTCCTGCCCAGCTCCAGGCAGACCTCACCTCCCACCCCTCTGCCTTTGTGAAGCACAACCTTCCTGGGTGAGCCAAGACCCCTGCCTGTACCGGGGCCAGGGATAAGCCATCCTGTATGTGGCCCTCATGCCTGGCACATGCCCCCAGCCCCTCTGGGGACTCCATCCTGAAAGCCAGAACAGCCAGATCTGCTGACACTGGCCACCAGCTTCCTGGGCCCAAGTCCCCGGACAGCTCAGGCAGTTCCCACCCCTGAGCCTGGGAGCACGAAGTTTTCCATTGAGAATCCCATGGCCCTGGGAGCAGCACTGACCCGGCCCCCACCAGCTCCAGCCTTGGTCAGACCTTGCATCCTTCCATCCCCCACAGGATCGTGCTCATCTGCGCCAAGCGGTCCCTGTGCGCAGCCTTCTCGGTCCTGCCCTATGGAGAAGGCCTGCGGATCAGGTGAGTGGTCCTGAGGTAGTGAGAGCCCCATGGCCTCCCACGCATGAGCAAAGCCCCAGCCTCACCCAGCACAGAGGCCTCGCAAACGCCACACCCCAGGATAAGGCCGTGTCTTCTATGGGCCCCTGCAGGGCTCTCAAGGGCCAGCACAGCAGCCTCTGCCATAGCTCTTGGGTACCAAATGGCCATCTCAGGTCCTCAGGCCCCAGGAGGGGCCAGGGGGTCAACTCTGCCATCTATAGGTGGACTGCCGGGCTGCCCCCCCTTGTGTGGATGTGATATGCAGGACAGGCAGTCACATCCTGTACATAATTCAGGGACGGTGGAAATGGCTGTTGAGTGGGGATAGTATTATGTGATCCTGGCTTAAAAATAGCTGTGGAGAAGCCTCTGGCCTGGCATGGGAAGCTGTGGCTTTCAGATCCAAGCCAAGTGGCCGGGATGGGCGCCTGCAAGGTGGAGGCTTATGTGCATCCAGTAGGCTGGCTTGGGGTTCGGGGAAGGTGGGTGCTGCCCCTAGGGTAGGCATGTGTGTGTTTTGTTTTTATATTTTTAGAGGCAGGGTCTTGCTCTTTTGCCCAGGCTACAGTGGCACAATTATAGCTCACCACAGCCTCGACCTCTTGGGCTCAAGTTATCCTCCCACCTCAGCCTCTCAAGGAGCTAGGACTACAAATGCCACCACACCCAGGCTAGGTTTTTTTTTGTTTATTTGTTTGTTTTTGGTTTTTTTTGAGTCAGAGTCTCACTCTGTCACCCAGATTGGAGTGCAGTGGCCACTCCCGGCCACCGCAGCCTCGCCTGCTGGGCTCCGGCGATCCTTCCACCTCAGCCTTCCAAGTAGCTGGAATCACAGGCATGCGCTACCATGCCCGGCTGATTTTTTGATTTATTGTAGAGATGAGGTCTCGCTGCCCAGGTGGGTCTCGAACCCGCAGGCTCAGGCAATCCACTCACCTCAGCCTCCTAAGGCGCGGGATTACAGACTGAGCCACAAGCCCGGCTTTTTTTTCTTTCTTTTTTTTTTTTTTTAATAGGGACGGGTTCTCACTATGTTGCCCAGTCTGGTCTTGAACTCTTGGCTTCAAGCAATCCTCCCACCTTGGCCTCCCAAAGCACTGAGATTACATGCATGTCCCACCATGCCTGGCCCCCCAGGTGTTTTATTTATTTCTTTATTTTGAGTTGGAGTCTTACTCCGTAGCCCAGGCTGGAGTGCAGTGGCATGCTCACGGCCACCCCAGCATCGACCTGCTGGGCTCCGGCGATCCTTCTGCCTCAGCCTTCCAAGTAGCCAGAACTACAGGCGCACACTACCACACCCAGCTAATTTTTTATTTGTTGTAGAGATGAGGTTTCACCATGTTGCCCAGGCTGGTCTCAAACCCACGGGCTCAGGCAGTCCTCTCGCCTCAGCCTCCCAAAGTGCTGGGATTATAGGCTTAAGCCACTGCACCCGGCCTCCCCAGGTGTTTTAATGGTTGGTATCTGTTACGGGCAAGGGGGCTCAAAGGTGACGCTTATAGTGGAACTGCCCTTTGGTCACTCAGTACTGCCCTCCTGAGGACAAGGGGCTGTGCAGCTCCTGTTCCAGGACCACCTCTGCAGTGGCAGGTGGGCCACGTGACTGGAGCCCCAGTCCTGTGCAGGTGGCAGCCGCTACCCTCTGCATTGCAGTGACCTGCGAGTGGATAGCCAGAAGCAGAGGCACCCATCCGGCGGTGTCTCTGTGTCCTCCGAGATGGTCTTCGAGCTGGAAGGCGTTGAGCTGGGAGCAGACGGAAAGGCAAGTCCCAGGTGGCCAGGCCCAGTGCGGTGGAGCAGTGAGCAGCTGTGGCAGTGCCCATGCAGTGAGCCTAGACTCACTCAGTGGCAAGGGTGGGAGGGCGCAGACCATGTGGGCCTGGGAAAATGGCGCAGAGCAGTCAGCAGCTCTGGCAGCCTGACGCAGAAGTGGCCTGAGGCATGAGCCATATAACTGTCTCCAGCGCTGCCACCTCCTCGCAGGGCAGGCTCGCCATCCCTCCACCTACCTCCTGCTGGTGGTCTGAAGCCTGGGTCTTCAGAGGTGGGATAAAGCTACTGCAGATCTAGATGAAGCAGGGCTGAGGGTTACGTTCTTACATGAGTGGACAGCGTCAAGCCAAGGGCTCTTTCCTTCCTTTTGCACATAGGCCCATGTGCACACGTCTGGACCTCCCTGCTGTGGGCAAAGAAAGCAGGGCTGGCCTTAACCTCCTGGGCTTGGGTGGCAGAACTGATCCTGATGCCTTTGCTGTTCCAGGTCGTGTCTTATGCTAAGTTCCTGTACCCTACCAACGCCCTGGTCACACACAAGAGTGACAACCACAGCCTGTTGCCCACACCTCGGCCCAGCATCCCCCGGGCTCTTCCGGGGTCCAGACACAAACCTATCCCCACCAAGCCAGTGCCAACTGGCACAGAGCTAGGTAGGCTGTGTGCCTGAGCCCTGACACAGGATGGGTGGCCTTGTGCCTTTTCCTTTTTGGGTCTTACTCTGTCACTCAGGCTTACCATAGCCTCGACCTTCTGGGCTCAGGCAGTCCTTCCACCTCAGCCTCCTGAGTAGCTGAAACTACAGGCGTATACCACCAGACCCAACTAATTTTTTTTTTTCAATTTTTTATAGAGACAGGGTCCTGCTATGTTGCCCAGGTTGGTCTTGAACTCTGGGCTCAAGCTCTCTTCCCTTCTCAGCCTCCCAAAGTGCAAGGATTATGGGCATGAGCCACCATGCCTGGCCCCACCTGCCTTAAAATGTGGCACAAGATGTGTGACCTGTGTGCCTGAACCCTGGCTCAGGGACAGCAGCACCCACAGCCACGTTGGAGTCCACAGCCCTCTGTGCGGATGGCACCTGGGTCAGGTCGGGCAGCTCAGGGAGGAGTGTCCAGATAGAAGCCCGGGCTTAGTCGAGCCAGGTGGTGCAGAGGAGCCACGTGCGCAGGTGGCTGCAGGGAGGGCCCCTGCAGAACGTCTTTTCAGTCCCTGGGCCTTGGGTGGGAGCATGTGACTAGAGCCTCCCAGGCCCCAGGAACTTTGCCCTACACCCCACTACCCCTGTGGGCCAGCCTCCCCTCAAGGCTTCATGGGCTCTGCTGGAGGCCTTGGTGGCTTAGGAGGCCTCTGCCTGCAGGAAGTGATGTGGGGGACACCCTGGAGTACAACCCCAACCTCCTGGATGACCCACAGTGGCCCTGCGGCAAACACAAGCGTGTCCTCATCTTTGCATCATACATGGTGAGTGCCCCCACCCCCGCCAAGTGTAGCTTCCAGGGCACATGGGGCAGGCTGTGGGCCAGCACCCACCCAGGGTGATGTGCCCATGCCTGAAACAGCAGCAGCCCTGGGCTTGGGGCTAGGGCCACAGGGCGGCATGCAGGGTGGGCCACAGGCGGGGCAGCCCAGGTCTTCCTCACTGCGACCATGTGTTCTTATGGTTGTCCGGGTGCCTCTGAAGCTACATTGTGTTTGTGTTTACAAACCCTGGCCGGCCTGAGCACCTCGCTTTCTGCAGACCACAGTGATTGAGTATGTGAAGCCCTCAGACCTCAAGAAGGACATGAACGAGACCTTCAGGGAGAAGTTCCCGCACATTAAGCTGACACTGAGCAAGATCAGGAGGTGAGGAAAGCTGGTGACACCTTGGTTGCTCCCTGAGAGATCTTTCATGGTCTCTGACTGTCCTGTGAGGACAGTCAGCCTCTCCTCGCCACTTTCTGGTAGATTCTCTCAAGCCTGACCAACCCCATCACTGCCCCCTCCAAAGTATGACCAGGCCCCTGGAGGCAGCTCCCTCCCCCCACAGCCTCTCCTCTGCCTCCCTTTCCCCCTCCCACTTCCCCCCTCCTCCTCCTCATCTGCCAACCCCTCCAGCAGCTCAGGAGCTTTTTAAAGCTTCAAGTCAGCTGGGCTCGGTGGCTCAGCCTGTAATCCCGTGCTTTGGGAGGCCG